GAGACTGGTCGTTGAGAGTCATTTCGAAGGGAGGTTGTTTCCAAGGAGTCAAATGCAGTCCTAATGTCAAGAGACTCAATGATCACTGCTCTTATATACATGTGGATTTCGAAAACTAGACTACTGATTCAACAGCTCCTCAGTAGTTCCACACGCGGTCGTTATTTCCATTTGACATGGAAGTTCTCACCATCAGGCGTTAATATTCTGATACAAGCAGTGTTGTATTTTGTTATTGGTGAGATCCTTCTCAGGTTACTGATGATGTGAAACCACAAGCCAGCCGCTCTGAGAAACAGCATTTATTAAGGAGACGTTATCTTAGGTGGTCTAGTGTCAGCTACTAGCCTCGATTCTATCACGATTTAATACTCAGTCGTGAGTCTGATGATTGTGGTGCGCTGCACATTGTCGATAGAGCTGGTTCCTCCATTCTAGATTCCTAGGTTGAAGGCCTGTTGATAGCTATGTACTCAAGTGGTGAAGCTCCAAATTTAGAGCTCTGTGCGACACTGACACCAGGTAAGAGAGATAATGACACCAGAAGTGAGTGGGTAGATATGCATAGAAGGGACCTGTCGAGCTGATAGACGCAGGGGGTATTAGAATCATTCACTGGGGTTTTGTATGTTCTCGAAACGCGGTACATAAATCGTGTGGTTTAAAAGAGTTCTTTGCAAGTGTCTATCAAGCTTGCAATATGTACGAAATAGTAGAGAAGATTTGTAGCTCACGTTGAGAATGACAATTGTCTGATGTTCTCTGAGTTTCGATATTCGATAGTGAGCGTTTCATCCCTTCTGGCTTAATGACACTTTGATCACGAACTTCATTACGTTGGACAGTTGGTTTGCAGGAGTGACGGCTAAATTAGATTGCTTGGGAAAGCACTTTGCATTTCGACGGTGCGAAGCACATGAGTACTGTTGATGATTAATTTCGATTTGGTTAGCTTGTATTTTATTGCACAATGAGGAGATATCGTGTACATGGTGAAGGTTGAATGGTCTTTTTGAGATACGAGATCTGCATTCTTCAGAGTGCCAGCGATAGAAGAGTTAAGGAGGAGTGACGACGTCGTCAATCCTTTCCCCTACTCTGTTTTTGGTGATTTTGTATTGGATGTTAGAGATGTTAGTAAACCTGA